GAAGAAAGCATTGGAAAATATGAGTTTCTTACAGTCTTACCTCATCAGTTTGGGTGAGGAGTTGGGTGAATTTCGCATGCCTCCATTCCGCTGTTTTTTTTTGGGTGATAGTGTCGATGGCTGCTCATCTTCAACTGGAAATATAAGGAACTCATGAGATTAAGTACTGCTCTAAGTGCAATACAAAATACAAGTGAAGTAGCAAAGAACACACACTCTATGTCCATTCACGCACTGATACGTCATCGCTAACATAGGCCCAACAGCAATAAAAAATCAAATATGTGTTAGTCAAAGAGATTGGTTTGAAGGAGAAGGAGAAGCAGGGGAGAATACCAAGGTTTTGAACACAGGTGTTCAAATTGGTTTCATACTTCAAAAACAAAGGGGGGAACCACATACGGGTTATTCTTAGTTATTTTCAGTTAATCTGTGCTACAGAAGAGTAGAATTAGTGCTCTGCTGTATTTCCAGAAAGATAAAGTGCTGTTTGCAGTACCAACATAACAGCTGCCAGCCTGCTTTTGCTAATGAACCAGACACCAGTTGGTTCTTGCTCTTCACATGCCAAACAGCAGAGTCTTCATGAAGAGATGTAAAATATTCAATGCCTTGATGTTCAATGATTCAATTAGTTGGGACTGTGAATGTAGCCTGCCATTGTGCACAGATCTTCAGCACAACTCAGACCTCATTCCTCCACCCTTCTCACAAAGGGGAGCTGTTATAACAGGAGTGAACACAATGAGGTTGAATGGAAGTGAGGATACAATACCTATATAACAGAGGAGGCATGTGTTATGCAATCTTTTAATGAGGATGATGTGCATTTTCAATGACAGATCAATTTCCAGATGTAAAATCACTTACGATTTCAACAATCGTTAACTACTGTTGGATAACTTCAGTCGTAATACTTATTACTTAAAAAGTGCAGCTTCCTAATAACTTATCTGTAAGTATTAACCATCAGCAATATGGTTTTAAGATGGTTACTGCACTTAGTAATTTGCACGTAAGGGTTACATTTGCTATCAAAGGGAATCACCTTATGTCTGCTATCTCAGATTCAGACTAATGTGAATTATTCTTATATAAAAACGGAAAAATAGACTTGTTTCCATCTATTGTTAATTGAAAAATGAAATAGAAGATAGTGTAACTGAGGCCTAGGAAGCTGTTACTTTAGAGCTAAAAGGAAAAAGATTAGTAGTAGTAGTAGCTGTATTAAAGCAGCTTAATACACATTAGCAGTGCACAAGCAGAGGCTGGAAAAAAAATTCTATTTGCAATGAGCTACGTAGGAACAGCTACAAAAAGCAAACCTGGACATATGTCACCTGCCCTAGATTTACCTGGGAACAAATTAAGCAATATCCTTCTGCTACAACCCTCTTCTGATACTCTTTTATTACAGTCTGCATTCTAGCCTGTCATGTCTCTCTGGGTTCTACAATATGCTATGGAACTTCATTTTGCCTTGGTCAAGACTGAAGGACTGAGCCCTGAAAAGATAGATGTGCTATCTTTTTAAACGACCTGGCATCACCTAAAACATCCAGGAAGTTAAAAGTAAACCAAGCATAACAAAAGAAAAAAAAATCACCTCAAGTAAAGAGTTATACTTAGATTGGAGAAACGGCTGCCTTATAATGATTTATTTCACTAGTTTAACTTTCTTTTCTTTTCAGGAAGCATTCCCAAAGACAAAGCCATTTTCTTCTGATTTCTTTCTTTCTTTCTTTCTTTTTTTTAATTTCAGAGCCCTGTAATGGAAACGCTTACCGGTGATTGGCTAAGTACCATTCTTTGTTTGGTAAGTCCAAAGAGCTAAGTCCACAGAAAATTATCAAAAACATATAGTTTGACATTTGCTTTTCATGACAGTTTGTTGGAATTAAATTGGATCTCTTCAGTATTCAGCTATTTGTTACCTGAAGTGAATAGTCACAGAATTATTTTGTTAGTAGTCTCTTCCCACTTCTGATCATAAAAAAGCAAGTATTTGTATATTTCCTAATATCCCCTAAAAATCACTCTCCTCAAAATGGCATACTCTTGTTTTAAATTTGTCTATCAATAAGTTATTCATGTGCTATTCCACACAGGCAGTAAGTTGTTTTCAAGGTATACACTGTGCCCTCTTGTTTTTTACTGGATATAAACGGTCAGTTCTAATCTGGCGGAACCACCACTTAAAAGATCAAAGGAATAAGAAAAGTGCAAAACGCTCCTTTACAGAAACCACCTACAACTGTTATATTTCTCTCTATTGGTAGCAAAAAACCTAAATTTCACTTAATTTAAACTGATACCATGGGGTTACAGAACATTTATCAGGGATTCAGTATTGAACCATAAGAAAAGTGTGCTGTTATACTTTTTCACTAGTACAAGGAAGCTCTATACACATCAGGACTATTTGTCAAAACTTATTTTAATAGAGGACAGCTGTTGATTGTATTATGGCCAGAAATATTTCTACGAATAATAGAAAACATTATTAAATAAAAATACTTTTCCAATTGTTCAGCTAGTTAATAAGACTCATATTTGATCCTTTCAAATGCTAAAAGTTAGCGCAATAAGGATCTTTTGCTGTATTTGGTCCAGCATCTGTTTTTTTCCGGTGATATCAGCTGATATTACCTTGACAGCTAATTATAAAACAAAGGCTTGGTTAAAGTCTTAGTATAAAACAAAGTCGAGTAATCATCCAGAATGACCATCTGTAGAACTAGATTTTAGCAGTCTACAGTCATTTTTTGTACTGCATCTGCAAGAAATAAGCTCCTTCTTTTGATAAGTGCTTGTCATCTCTGCACTATGGTACTGTCAGTAATTACCTGTAAAGTCCAATGCTAATGAGGCTCATGAGCTAATACCTGTTAGCAAACCTTCTGAGAACTCTCAATTTGTTGCTAAAAGCTGTGCCTTGCTTAAGCAAGGGAGCCATTTATTTTCACCGCAGCAATGAAAGATGATCTATCTTTGTCATATCACATTCAAACAGGATTTTTGTTTTTCAGTGAAATCTGTGCACACAGTTTACAGTGCATCTGCAGTTTAGAGACACAGTTCCATAAAAATGGGGAAAGGGAATCTGTGAAACTGAAAAGGATGAATGGTTTGCAAGGGCCACCATTACCTATGACTTTGTTCCCAGAAGTGTTGCAATGATAACTCACAAGTGACTTCTTAGTCATAAGTAGGATAAAAAATACATTTAATTATTATCCTTCAGATACTCTAATCAATTTAAAGAAACAGATCTAGCAACATTTTTAGTAAAGCCATAAAATATAATTTTAATTTCATAGTTCCTGTGTCTACATGAGAGGAATAAAAATCAAATTAAAAGGGAGTCTTAAAAATTTCTTATGAAAGACAACTATATTTGAATAACGGGCTGTGATATATGACAACTCAACTCTGCTGTTGTATGTTTGGCCTAGTGCTTTGGTTAATGAGAATGTGCTCAATTTTTTTGTATTTTTGATGTCTTTATGCTACAGGAGTCGTATTAAAATACACTCATACCATATCATGAAGACTTTCTTCACCAGCTTTCACAAAAAGTGCAAATAAGTTCAAGAACTGGATACAGAATTTTATAGAATCTGAACTCAATTCAGCCTCTGAATGCTAATAAAATTCAAGAGCTTGTTTTTGCACATCCCTAAATATAACACTTAATATACTGTTGTAACAACCCAGCGCTCACTTGTCTAATAGGCACAGAATCTAACAGCTTTACAGTTCAGGAAGACTCAGTGCTAGAAAAAAGCCAGGCAAATCTAATGAGGCTTCAGATACTCTGGTTTATGCTGGAGTTTAATTTAAAGTTACACTGATGTTTTAACATGTTTGCTTATTCTTCAGTAAAGACGATTCATTATTTCAATGACATAACCTCCAGACAATGTTCCATGAATTGATTTAAGACATGCTGGTAATTTTAACAGCCTTAATGTGGAGCTGAACATCTGTAACAACATACTACTTGACTTTTATCCTCATTTCATTTTTTAAGCAAAATAAAGGGAATGTCTTTCAGAAACAGTGGACAAGTTCATAACGTTTTCCTTTGTTATTTTGTTACTATTTTTTTAAATAAATCTGTCTCCTTCACTGCCTCTGCCTCTGTCAGGTCTCTAGCAGCACAGTTTACAGATACAGTTTTTTGGACCCCAAAAGGAGATGGAATTTTCAATAACATTTGCATTACTGAACATAACACAAACTTGAATACCTGGTAAACTCATTTTGCCTAGAATGTTAATGCTTCAGAGCAAATAAACCATATGAAAGATAAAGCATAAACCACCCAGAAACATTAGTTGAATAGCTATCTTGATTAACTTATTAATCACCACATCTGGAGAAATCCACATCTGTAAGCACTTAACAGACCATTAGTAATGTCATAGTCACATTGAAAACAGACTGCAAAACCATGCACAAACCAATCTATACCGCCTTATACATCCAACTACGGGGCTACCTACGGAGATCTTGGTTCAACCCAGGCTTTTGGGAGTGGTAGCGGTATTTTACAGGCAAGCTCAGAGCCCTTTGCAATCTACAGTAGGTAGATTTTCCTTGTTCAACAGAACTCAGCAAGTTAAGGTGCAGCAGCGAGGGATTGTTGGGTAGAAAGAGGCTCCCTTTACGGTTATTAACAAGTGGAACAGGTTCCGGGATTCCTTCAGTGGACTTGGCACCAACCAAAGAATTAGTAGTTGCATTCTTGAATTGATATGAACATTTTGGGTAACTTGATCTAGCTGCATTCTTTACTTCTAAATAATAAGAAAAAAATGTAAATTAATGTCTTTGTATTAAAAATTATTTCAAACCACAGGCATGAATCAGTTTTGATAACATGTGGAATTACAGACTTTAAAGCTGAAAGTATCAGTTTGTATAGTGGAAATAAAGGTTTATACCTGCAGCTTTCTTAAGTTTTTTTTCTAGAAATGGCTTCTCATAAGAGAATACTTATAAAAGGATTATTCCACAGTATTGTCATCTTTAAGCAATAATCTTACCCTAGGGTAAGTGAGTCTGAGGGAACACTTATTTCCGACATGTTGATAAAGACTTAAAGATTTTTTAGCTGCGGAAGTTGTTT